AAAAAAAAAAAAAAAAGCTTAGCCTTAAAAACAATTCCTTGCTGGCAAAAGTAGAAGGTGATATGAGGAGCAAGGTATTTAAGAGACAAGAAAAGAAGAAAGAAAGAAAAGTGATTCAACTATGCCTGGTAGCAAAGCCTCTGGCAGCACTGGCTTGAAGCTATGCTGGGCCATTTCAGAGGAGCTGACCTAGGGGTGGCCACCTAATCTGGAACCATGGACAAATGTGTAGTAAGTGAAATTTTATTGCAAAACATGATAGAAGGCTATCGTGCTATGAGTCGGATCCAACTCAATGGCAGCACATTTGGTTTGTTTTTTGAGTTCTGCAAATCATCAAAAGAGGCAAATGTCAAGATAGGCTGTAGCGTCTAGGTAACCCCACCTTTCCCATGGCGAGGGTAAGTGTCTCCTTAGCAGCTGACTGACCTGAGACCTTGGGATCATGTATGCATCGTAGCTGGACCCGTGGTACTTGGCCGTAATATCTGGGCTGTAGCCAGCATCACAAGTGCAAGGTATATTTGAGCTCGGGGACTGTTTCTTAGGTCTATAAACCTGTGGGAGAAAGCTACAATGGTTAGGTGCAGGAGAGGAGGGTACAGGGTGCGCAGGGTGGGAATTAGGGGAAAGCAAAGGAGGAGGCTCATCTTGACTTTCTGTGGCCAAGTGGATGGAAAACCCAGTGTAGAAGATGCACAGCCCCAAACAAAGAGGTCAGATGTAAGCAGTCCTGAACCCGTGGCCAGCACTAGTGAGGCATGCCGCTGTGTGGAATGAGCCCAATGTGTGGCAGTGACTGGGGCCCTCCCTCTGTAAGGAGAATGCACCCAGATGTGACAGTGGTCTCTCTTTCTCTTAGCAAGGCAGCCCCCATGAGGAATGGACTCTGGTTCAGGGTCAAAGGATGCCTTTTCCTTCCTGAGGAGGAAAAAAGGTTGGCCCCATTTTAAGGTGAGGAGGATTCTCCCTTTTGATTTCCCTTCTACTTACCCTATACAATGTGCTCAGCCCATACCACCTGGCAGACAGAGAGCCAGTCCTGGGAACTTAAATAGATTTGGACACCCTCCACATGGTCACTACATGGTGTTTTGAGAGTTTCAAAGCCACATGTGTGTGGCCCCAGCTAAGATACCACAGCCACTTTATAAGCCCACGGACCACTGGGCCACACATCTACAGAGTAGGTTTCATAACGAAGCAAGATCTGAGCATCTCTAACCATCACCTGCAAAAGCCCCACACCCTTTATTTATTTAATGGAGGAGAAATAATGGCTGAAGGTTTTAGGAGTGATATTCCAATAAGCTTCAGACACAATTATTTTCATGGAAGTGTTTCCTCACAAAAACCTCCAGAAAGCAAAGAACTTTCTGCACAAGTTAGGACCATGTCCCTCCTTCATTTCCCTTCAGAACAAATGTGGTCACTTACAGGGGAGGAGGTAATAAACTAGACTGAATCATGGCTGCAGAGGTCTGCAAGCCACATGTAGTCCTAGGGGCTGAGGGGAACATTCCTTGGCTGAAAGGCCCAGGAGAAAATAGTTAAAGAACCAAAGTTGAAAGTATGGAGAAAAAGAATCTAAAGAACTGGATGAGAGGAGTTATTTATGGGGGCCAGAAAATGAGCAAGACAGAATGTAACAGGTCCAAAAGGAAAGAAGATGCCCAAAATTTAATTAGGAGTTTCTAGGAGTTAGTCAAAAGTCAAACAAAGTCCACTGGAAGGAAGAGATCTATTTCTGGGGAGAGAGGATGCTAATACAAAAGAAGGGAAAACAATGCTGGTTGTAAACTACACAAGCCCAGGCAACATGCATAAAAACATAGAAAAGCAGTAGAATGGTGTTCCAGCCACAACTCGTGCCTTTTGACTCCTACCTGGCTTTAGCTGCTTGAGCCCTCAGGATGGACATGGGAAAATGAAGAGTAGCTAAACCCAGGGAAGGCACCCAAGGCCCAAAACCCAGCCAAACACACCTTTCGTGCAGGAGGCCCCACCTGCTGCTTTAACTGATGAACCAGTCGGTCTTTTTCCCGCTTGAGGGCCATGACTTCTTCCTGTGTCTTCTTCTTTTTAGAGGCAGACAATTCCAGCAAGGCAATGTTTGCATCTTTTTCACTGATTGCTGCAAGCAGTGCTTCCTGTCTGGTAAAATAGAGAATATTGTGATCATTTTTATAAAGCGAAGAAAAAATAATTTGCATTTACAGCAGACATGAGCCACACAGTATCATCACAATGGGAAACAACTATGGATAACACTTAATGCAAACTACTTCCTGACTCTTAGAATGTACCAAGTATTTTGGGTCAGAATCCCTAAGACTCACACTCTGGGTTCTCTGAGACAACAGCTTTCAATGGCTTCGTAGGTACAGCTACACATGGGCTAGTTGTTGTTATGTGCTGTCGAATGAGACCTCACTCCTAACGACCCCTCCTTGGGTTTCCAAGGTGGTATCACTATGGAAGTAGATTGCCTAACCTTACTTCCAAAGAGTGGCTGGTAGGTTTGAACCTCCATCCTTCTGGTTAGCAGTCAAGCGCCTTAAGCACTAGGCTACCAGAGCTCCTACACTTGGGCCAGAGAAAGTGGAAATAAGAAAGGGTCAAGCTAAGCAACTGTTACTAAAATACTTTTATCTATCCATGTATTCATCTATCTGCTGTCTTTCATCCATCCACTCTTCCATATACCCATCAGCCTTTCCATTCATACATCCATTTAACCATCCATCTAACCATCCATCCCTCCCTCCCTCCATCCATCCATCTGCCCATTCATCCATCCACTCACTCATCTATTTGCCAAAGTGCTAGGTACTCCAAGACAACTCAACAATGGACAGTGATATCAATATCAAGTATTATTACTTTGCTGCAAGGTTTTCTTTTGGAGGTAGATGGATATATTTATTAGGAATCCCTTTCCCTTTTTAAAATAATTAGTGATGCTTCCTTGGCCATGCTACTAAAAACTACTCCTTCCTAAGTCTTCCTTATCTCGGTAATGACATACTATCCAACAAGCAGCCCAAGCCCCAAACCTAGACGTCATCCTTGATTCCTCTCATTCCTCCTCCCCGACCCACAGCCAATCCACCAAAAACTTCAGCTGGTTTTCCTTGAAAATGCATTGCTTATCTAACTCTTCTCTTGCCACCAAAGTTCTTCCAATCACTAGTGTCACCTGTGTGCACCACTGCAAAAGCTTCCTCACTGGTTTCCCTCCACAGATCAAAGTAATCTTTAAAAACATTGTGAATCAGGATTCAACCATTCCATTGTGTAGAACAAGCTACTGAAGGGTGTCCCATTTTCCACATCATACTCAAGGCCCTGATCTACCACAGTACACTACTTGATGTTTCTCAAAGAACTTGTCACTATTTGCATTGATCTTAGATATTTGTTTTCTAGACTTGACACACCATAAAATTGGAACCTCATCCATCTTTTTTACCACCAATTATCCAGCTCCTAGAGGAGCGTCAAGTACACAGTGGATGAATAAGTGATGACTTCACTTTTTACAAGTTTCTGAATACTGTACACCTCTTCCTGTCATTGTTTTATAATTACAATTCTTTGCTTCCTGATTAACCTTTGATCATTGCTTACTCAGAAAAGTTCTGAAATTGCCTCTTCCCATATTTATACTTTCATCTTATGGCCATATCTGTCATGGAATTTAACCTGAAATTTTCTGGACTCCTTTTTGAGTAGGCTATGTCTCTATTAAGGGTTTCTACTGATGGAGTCTTGTTCCTAAATATTTGTCCTACTTCTGCAACATTCTAGATACTCAGAAGACCTCATAGTCCCAGGGAAACCTCCAAATGAGTAATTTTCTTGCTCCCAAATCTCAAGACCAAAATTTGGTCATGATCCTCTTTTGCCTTTTTCACATCCCCATCACCAGACCATGCCCCCACCAGATGTTTCCATAAGATAGTTGTTATTTGGATCTCAGATTTTTCCTCTTCTCACTGCAGGAATTTGTATGACTTTTCTGGGCTTCACTAACTCCAGGCAGTAGGAGCTTCTGTCTGAGGCTCAGGCAGACATGTGAACAGCAGAGCATGTCAGGAAATACCTCCACTTTCCAGAAGAAAACCAGTGCAAGCTGGACTACCAGCAGCGGCATTAATATCCTGCTCCACAGAGTCTGTCTCCTTCTGGATAACATCTTGAGAAAATAGACATGTTTGCTGTTCATAGCCAGTGCATATTTAAACATAAGGCCAAGCAGTAGGGGCTGTAAGGACTTTATTTCAGGGAGAACGCATTTGATACCTATGGCAGATGTCATTACAACACACCCAAAGTGATGGCAATATTTTATCCTACTTGTGTCAAACTGAAACGTCTAAGGGAAGCTCTTTTAATGGACCAACCTAAAAGACCAATAATAGGAAAATGTGAGAAGATGTGGATGGTAAAATGCCTTACATCCCCACAAATGACTCTGTAAATCTTTATGTAGCCATTTAAAACAACAATGAAGAAATCTTAATGACATGTGAAAACATCCATGCTTGTTGGCAGACAACTCTCCATGAGCCTCAGGTGTTTTTGCACATTTTATGACAAAGGTACTAACTGATTGTCCTCTTTTCTGACTATTTTTTTCAAGACATTTTGTATAGTGAATAGTCTTGGAAGATGGAGTTAATATATACCTTTGAAGTAAAGGGTCTCTAAATAAAACCCAAATTCACTGCTGTCAGTCAGATCAGACACAAAGCGACCCCTCCTTGGGTTTCCGAGGCAGCGTCTCTACGGAAGTTGATTGCCCAGTTTTCCTTCCAAAGAGTGGCCAATGGGTTTGAACCACCAGCCTTCTGGTTAGCAGTCAAAGGCCTTAGGGACTATGCCACCAGAGCTCCTAGTCAAGCTTGTTGTTGTTGTTGTTATGTGCTGTGGAGTCGGATCTGACTCATAGCAACCCCTCCTTAGGTTTCCAAGGTGGTATCACTATGGAACTAGATTGCCCCATCTTCCCTCCGAGGAGTGGTTGGTGGGTTTGAACTGGCAGGCTTCTGGTTAGCAGTCACACACACATAAATTTAGGAAGAGCTTTTCAGCCAACAAGTAATTGTAGGTACATGTTTCAGAGCTTAGCAGATGTAAAATTTGCTCATTTTCCCACCCAGGTATTTACTCTTTATTCACAGGTATATAAAGTTCCCCCACCACACATACACTTTCACACACACAAGCACACACACACAATGTCTGGTATAATCTGCATTTTCTTCCATTTGGATAACTGCAGTAATCTGCTAACTAGGCCCCCGTTACCTACATTTGTCCCTCTTTAATCCAGGTTCCTCTTCCATGTCAACATTTGGAATTACTTAGGTTTAATGACTGTTAAAATCATCATCGATCCAAAGAATGGTTACTAGCAACTCCTTGTTCTCCTGTAATTCTATAAACCAGGATTAGGTGAATTTAACATGTATTTGTCCTCTCACAGTATCTTCAAAAGTCCCAATGGGTTAATTTCTAATTCTCAATTTTCTGTCAATCAGAAAAACATATATAAACACCTAATTGTCAGCAGATATACTCATTAAATACAACCCCAAATCTAATAATTTTTAATTATTAAACCTTACCATTTATTTAAAATCACTTTCATAAAAAAAGATGTAAAGCAATTCTTTAACATTATATAAATTTATATGGAAAGGAAAGAGACCTCAGAGAAGCAAAGCACTATTGAAGAAGAACAAAGTAGGAGGTCTCACACTGCCAGATATCAAAACCTACTATACAGCTACAGTAGACAAAACTGTCTGGAATTGGTTTAATGACGGATACATAGACCAATGGAATAGCATTGAGAACCCAGAAATAGATCCATCGAACTATGGTCAGCTGATCTTTGACAAAGGGCCAAAATCCATGAAATGGGGAAGAGAATGTTTGTTTAATAAATGGTGCTGGCAAAACTGGAGATCCATTT